GAAGTCAAGAATAACTGTTGATTCAACTATTGTTTAAGTTACTATCATGAGGGGTTTGGTAACAAGAAAATTCTTAGAATATATCTCTTACTCATTATATAGGAGAATTTAAAATTTTGGTTGACATTTTAGAAAGGACCATGGAAGTTGACATGTTTGAGCTGCTTTCGCGGGCCACATAAAATGATGTGGTGGGCCAGATCTGGCCCCCAGGCCTTGGGTTTGACACCTGTGGTATAGTCAGTCATTTTCAAATAGAGGATAAACTGTTTTTAATATTGTTCATAATGTACACAAATATAATCTGTACAGAAAAACAATAGATAACCTAGATACGCAAAGGATAGCACTGCTTGATGAAGAATGACGAAAACCATACAACAAATTACAGTACAGAAACTCAGAAAAAGAATCATAAAAACAGACGTTTAAACATTTTTTGCTTCAGTTGCTGAGGAGTAGCATTCTGTCAGGGTAGGCAATGGCAAAGTCCTCGTACAATTTGACAGGCACAGATTCTAAAGAACAGTATGGGAGCAGAGTCACCCGGGCAACAGCGTTTAGAAACAGAACAGTTGTACACATTTTTTTTTTCTGCGTTGCATTGTGAGTACATACTACAGTGTCTATATTGAAACAAATCAAGATAATTCAGAAAGAGATCTGAAATAATCCTCAAATTGCGGACGGGTGGGGTATTGGGATGAGCAAAAACAATAGAAACTTTGGGTTACTTCATAAGAATACAGTTTTTTCAACGGGTGATTGTATAAACAGATTAGTTGTTGGTAGTTATGCATTGGTCTGCGTCAGAATCGTTTTATGACTTTCAAAATATGCGAACATTCGACATTTTAAGTTATATCTACAAAATATATATTAAATTAATTTTAATTTTTACACTATGTTAGTGTAATCAGGAAATGTAAATTGCATCAACTGGGGAAAAAAAGGTCATAGGGAAACAAAATATTAGCTGCTGACATCTGGCATCTTCCTCATGCATTTAAAAATGCAGAGTGATTCAAAGAATAATTCAATTCATTTGCTATGAGTATGTTTGGAAGTTAAAATTTTAAAAAACTATTTAAACCTGGGACAAAATTATCAGTTTGTCAAAAGTGAGCTCACTTTGGATCATGGGACAAAAAAAAAAAAAAAACCACTGTTATCAACACACAAATTGTTCATACGTCTGTACATAACATTTTTGACCTGACTACAAAAAATCTCAGTGGTGGCATACTGCTCAATACAATGAAGACACATTACGGCACTGCATAGAAAAGTAGCACCAATTTTTAGGTGAGATGAGTTCTATTGAGGGGAGTTTCAATATATGACACTTGAATATTTGCTGTCTTTCAAATATTCTTTCGAAAATCATCAAAATCAGGATGTACAGCAGAAGTGTGACCTTCTTTCGAGAACATTTCTGTTTTTTAGCTCAGCCAAGATCTCCTGGTTCCCCCTCAAGTCATCTGGCGCCCCTCAGGAGGTGCACCACATGCTTTGAAAACATCCACATTTATATTTGGCCAATCATGTTTTGAGAGATGTTAAAGGTTGGCTGCTCAGCAACTTTTCAATCAGTGACAACCACATCACTATTCTCAATCCCAATGAACACTCAGAACATCAGAGGTCGGGGGTCGGCAACCCGCGGCTCGAGCCGCATGCGGCTCTTTAGCGCCGCTCTAGTGGCTCCCTGGAGCTTTTCCAAAAATGTTTGAAAATGGTAAAAGATGGGGGAGGGAAATATATATATATATATATATATATATATATTATTTTTTTTAATATGGTTTCTGTAGGAGGACAAACATGACACAAACATTCTTAATGGTCTCCAATGCTGTAAAAATGTGTCAAATATATGTTAAATTGAAACCTTTCTGTCAACCAAGATTTGCGTCATAGCCTGAGACACACGTTTCTATTAGCGGGGTGGGATGCCAGTCAGGTGGCTGTTGTTAACCCCCCCGTATTCTCTCCCCCCAAAAAAACGCCGTTTCATGTACAATTCCCTGAGGGTACTGGCAAAGAATGGGAATATGGAGTGCCGAGAGAAGCATTTGAAAACGGGACACATGAGCTACGATAGTTAACATGCTGCAAAAGTGCATCCCAATCATGTCTCGACGAAGGCAGGGAGTGATTTTCACAAACTCATGTCGACTTTATTTTTCTGTTTCATTCATTTTAGGGGCCGTTGTGGTTGTTGCTCACAATGGCTGGTTGATCAAAAAGTAGATTTTGGGATAAAAAAGGTCGGGCCCCTGCTCTACTGGATGACTGCAGGGAAAAAAACATTGAATCGTGAAGGCTCATTGTGTATTTGTAGCCAACGTAGTCATTTTGATGGTAGACTAATATAGCTCATATAGATACATACAGCGTGTGCTGCCTTCATTATAAGGCTTGAAATTTTTTGCAGCTCCAGATATATTTGGGGTTTCTTTTTGGTTCAAAATGGCTTTTTCAACATTTTGGGTTGCTGACCCGAGTTAGGTGATGATGCCTCTATGACATCTGCCATTGAAAACGAATCCATCAAGCTCTGGATCCAGAATTGGAGGGACAAGGCCATTAAGAAAGATGGAAGATGGAATTATTAGCAACAGAGAATTGTTTGCCATGAATAACTCAAATAATGAAACCAAACGAGTGCCTCTGATCTACAGTATTGTTTCTGTATAAAAACCTGAGGAAATAGCTTATGAAATAAAAGTTAGACAAAAGTATTAATAAGTATAGACATGGGAAAAAAAGGTTGGTCCACCTGTGTTAAAAGTAACTTGAAGCTGATGAAAGTAATAAGACTTAAAAAAAAAGAAAATTAAATTAACCAGTGATCATCAGACAGTGCTTTTGATTTGTGGTTCAACCAAATTCTTTGAAACAAAAAACCTAAAGAGACAGGTCTGGACAAAAACGATGGTGCCTTAAACTTAATGTTTTGTTCCAAAACCTTTTGATGCAATCACTGCAATCCAACAATTTTTGTAACTTTCTGCTAAGACTTGTGCACCTCTCAGCAGGTGTTGTGGATCACTCTTGATGAGCAAACTGCTCCAGTTGTCTCAGGTTTGAAGAGTCCTTTCTCCAGATGGCATGTTTCAACTCCTTCGACAGATGTTTGCTCATGAAGTGTGGGCCAAAATACCTTCTACTGGGGGTAGAAATCTCATTTGGAAATTACAAAAATCATTTGATTGCGGCTTCAAAAGCTTGGGCAACAGAATGTTAAGTTCAAGATACAGGTATCCCTTGCTACATCGCGCTTCATTTATCGCGGCTTCACTACATCGCATTTTTTTTCTGTATTCAGAAAAAAATGCCAAATGACTCAGAGGTTTTGTACATGACTGTACGCATGACTGGTTCCTGGCGCGACGTCGACCAACAACAGCACAAGTGGATTTATTTCGTGAGCTGATTGGCTGCGCATCTTCGGAGCCCGGCCCATCACCTTCCCGTGTGTCTCATCATGCTGTTGACTCTCTGATCCGTGTCTCGTCACTCTCTGATCAGTGTCTTGTCACGCTGCACCATCATTTTTGTGCAGGCGTGTTTCTTGAGCTTTTTTAGTACAATAATTCTGTCGAACCACAATTCAAAATCAATATCTGATTTTCGCTGGTTAATTTTCATGAATTTTTTATATATTACATTTGTCTTGTTAGATTCCAGTTATTTCTGTGACACTGTGGGTTTTTCCTTTCGTTAACAGTGGGGTACCCAATTTACCCAATTCTATCCATGAGGGAATGAAATATTGAGTAACAATGAATGAAAGGAGGAGGACTCGAAATTTCAAGTATGAACATGAGTGTGAATGGTTTGTGTCTTTGCGTTTGGCTGGCGATCAGTTCAGAGTACCCTGCTTCTTGCCCAAGGTCAGCTAGGATCGGCTCCAGCTCACCTGACACCGTCTTGGTGTGAAGCCATACAGAAAATGGATGGATGCAAGTAAAGGAGGTAATACATGGTCATACAAACAAACATCATAATAAGCTCACGTCAAATTCGACGCAAGAAAGTCGTAATAAGAACCAAACTAATAAAAACATCATTTGAATGCCACAATAAAAGTAATACTGTTGGTGCGAGTTTTAAAGCGTTATCAAGCAACCGCCCCACCACCTTACACATATTGTTCGTGAAATAAAAAAGTGACTAAACTACAAGACAGCATGGACATGTGCAAGAAGCCAGAAGCATGAGGAAGACAAACACACACCAACACATATCTTTGCTTTGATTGCATACGGTAAGTCTCTACAGGCGTAACTGCATACTGATTCTAACAGTCTAGTCACTTTCTGATCAAAACAAAAAAACTTTCATCAAACAAATGAAAAGGACACACTGGAAGGCTGCTCTGAAATGCGAGCCAATTATGAATACATTATTTAGTGGTTACTCATCAGGCCTCCACTGTTCATTGATTGTCTAAAATGCTTCAGATGAGGTCAGAAAACTATTCACCTCATGTTGGGTCATTCTCTCCTGTTTGCGTGCAAGTCTGTTATTAGGCACCTGAACTTACGCACTTTCCATCAACACAGATTCTCCTGCCCACATTTCAGACAACACACTCACGTGGGAAAACTGGGGACGAATGCGGCACCGCCAAAGCGGTGTGATTCAATGACAGCTGAGGCTGCGTGGAAACCCTGAATGTGTAATTTTCCTCCGATTTGAGAATGTCATTGAAATCTGTGACACACAAAAGGACATTTCCAATGTGAAAAGATCTTTTAGTGAACGCGTATTCAGCCAGTCAGGACGTGTGGACCGTTCCAATGACACTCTGCTTGGAAGGAGAGGATGTTTTTTTTTTTGTTTGTTTTTTTTTAATTCTGTATATGATCATTCTAATAAAACTATTTACTGAAGTAATTTAATTCATGTTATGCTTATGAATCAATGCATGTTTAAGATATCCTTTATTTTTCCCACACTGGGGAAATTTACAGTCTACAGCAGCAAAATTGTCCAAAGATTTTTACGCGGAAGGAATATGGAAGCTTGTGCACAGTGCTGGGAGACAATGTTGCGGCAATGTTCCTGCCGTACTCCAGATCAGCGGTCTCCAACCTTTTTTGAGACACAGACCGGTTTCACTTAGATATATTTAGACATCTTTCGATATATAGACAATGAAATCAAAAGTGTTGTGAGTGACTGGCTGAGATATCAGTCCAAAGATTTTTACGCGGAGGGAATATGGAAGCTTTTGCACAGTGCTGGGAGACAATAATGTTGAATATTATTCTAAAAAAGTAAGCTTCTATCTGTATTAGAAGTGCTGATATTGAAAAATTCACCTTATTTTTTGAGTGACCCTCATTCATTCATTTTCCGAACCGCTTTATCCTCACGAGGGTTGCGGGGGGTGCTGGAGCCTATCCCAGCTGTCTTCGGGCAATAGGCGGGGGACACCCTGAACCGGTTGCCAGCCAATCACAGGGCACAAAGAAACGAACAACCATCCATGCTCACACTCACACCTAGGGACGATTTAGAGTGTTCAATCAGCCTGCCAAGCATGTTTTTGGAATGTGGGAGGAAACCGGAGGACCCGGAGAAAACCCATACAAGCACGGGGAGAACATGCAAACTCCACACAGGAAGGCCGGAGCTGGAATTGAACCCGGTACCTCTGCACTGTGAAGTCGACATGCTAACCGCTCGACTACCGAGCCGCCAGTGACCCTCATATATTTAGTAATTTGATCCTATGCAAGTTGATCAACTCAAAATATTTCTATGGTCTGTCTGAGCAGCAACACCCAGTGGCTGAGGATCCCTGCTCAACATGATTTCAGTCATGAGCACTGGTTGGGGGTGGAGGGTGGGGTGGTCTGTTTGGAGAGCTGAGCCTTCACATCATCATACAGTAGATATATGCCAAACGTTGGCATTACTGCATGAGACTGCAATATGAAATAGAAAGAAACAATAGAAAATGAGAAAAAAATTCCATCAAACCTTTCAAAAAACTGTAAGCAAATTTAATGAAAACGCACGAAATGTGATTCGTGCTGTTTCCATTTGTTTCTGTGTTGCGACTATTGAGAAGAGAGGAGACTACTCCATGAGATGACGTCCGACCGAGTGTAGCTCTGCCACAGGCCACTTGGCTGACTGTCAACAAAAATGATCATGGAAAGATTGCTGCTCGAGTTTTTGCGGTTTGGATGAACTCTGTTCACAATTGTGTACAAGTATGTTCTACAGACTCTGAAGTGTGTAAAAGTGCAAAAAGTGCTTAAGTTGAGTAGTGAATACACACAAAGTCAGATTTTAGAGGAAATGCCCACATTTTAGAGTGCTCCAACCAGAGTGCGGACAATATTTGGCTGGAGGGTTGCATGAAGGGCAGACATTAGTCAATGGGAGAATCTGCGTAGTCTAAAAAGTGTGCAATCGTGTGCCTTTTTGCTCTCATGATCATGGGAGACTATAGCCCAGACTGTCCAAATCAGGGGTCTCGAAGTCTGGTCTCAGGGAGCGCCTATCCAGCCTGTTTTTTTGTTTCCCAAGCCACCAGATTCAGCAAGCTTTGTTCCCTCATTTGAATCATGTCTGTCAGAGCTCGGGAAACACCAAAAACAGGGCTTCCGAGGACCGGACTTGGAGACCCATGGGCTCAAATAATCACTAAACAAACACTGGAATGATTAAAAAAAAAAAATACCACTTTAAGACTCGATCTAGCAATAAAGCTGTTGTGGGAAAGAAAGAAGAAAATTGAAGTGAAGGCACATTTTTATAAGAGGAGAGAGTGATGATGGGATTTATGCCTGCGATGTCAGGTCCAAAGGTTCTGTGAAGCTGTGAAGATTTGGAAGGATATCACCATCCAGGGAAATTTGTCCAAGGTGTGTCGGGCTCTTTGGTGAAAAGTTCTCTCACGTTGATGTGACTTTATGTGAGCAGACCCATACGAGTGAGCTTGGCTGAAAGGAAAGCATGGAGGACAAACACAACTGGCTTTGGACCAGAGTGGAGGTCAAATACCTTAATCGAAGAAAAGGACAGAAAATGGGAGAAAGGTTACTAGCAGTTGATTGTGGATTAATCACATTTTAAAACAGGTTGAGTCAAAATAAACTAGTTTGCTACAACCAACTTCCTGTTGTCTCCTTATGTAAAAGCCGTGTTCTGACTAATACTATGACGGGAGCCAGAAATTTGTGCACACATGACTGCCGCGATTCCTTAACGACTGCGGCACTGTTGAGACACGATGGAAACTCACAAAATGCTAATGGAGAAAAACATTTTAATTTGTATTGTCTGCCATCCATCCATTTTCTTGCACTCATCCGGGGTCGGGTCATGGGGGCAGTTGTTCCAGGGGCATCCCAAGGCGTTCCCAAGGCTAGCCGGGAAACAGTCTTTCCAGCGTGTCCTTGGTCAGCCCAGAGGCCTTCTCCTCATGGGATGTGCTCGGAACACCTCACCAAGGAGGTGTCCAGGAGGCATTTGAACCAAAGCCACCTCTCAACTGGCTCACTCGCTGTGGAGGAGCAGCGGCTTGACTATTGAGTCCCCTCCTATTTCTATGGAAGAGCCCACAGACCCAATGGGGGAAATTCATTTCTGCTGTTGTATCCATTCTTTCAGTCATGACCCACAGCTCCTGACCTTAGTTGAGGGAGGTAAATTGAAAGCTTCATCTTATGGCTCAAGTCCCTTTTCATCACGGACACCCATTTCGATGACGGAGGATAGATAATGAGACGTTTTTTAAAAAGGACAGACAAAGCAAGGACGGAAGTGGGCCAGATAAGAAAGCTGGCCCTGCTGCATGCCTCTCGGTCCCGTCCGACACCGAGTGTGTGTGTGTGTGTGTGTGTGTGTGTGTGTGTGTGTGTGTGTGTGTGTTACCTTATTCGGTTTATTCATGCGCATGAGTGTGACGAAATACGTTCGTTTTTGACGCTGACGGAGGTGGCCATTTCAAGCTACTCGAGCGAAATGGGCTCAGGACAAAAATTGCTTTGAAACGCTTCAAATGTGCCACACATCATCGAACTGCGCATTCTGCATTGGGAACACGCCAGTGGAGCACAGGGAGCCACGGGTGGACTTATTTATTAAATACAGCACTCCACTTGTTTGCTCTGCTGCTGTGGAGAGGGTTTTTTTCAACAACCGATGATTCTTTTGCCAAAGAGGAGTGCCCTGGCCACTGCCTGCTTGGACAAGCTGGTCTTCCTCAAGGGGAACATGTCCCAATTGGGGTAACCCACCAACAAGGGGTAGTTTGAGGAGACGCAAGGGGCCGAACACAAGGGAGAAAAAGGCTATATATTTTTTTGTATGTTAAGCTGTTCACGGTGTTCATAATTTATAGTTTTTGTGTGCACATTTTGAGCATGATGTCTCTGATCCACTGGAGAAACGACACTTTGATTGTCTCCTCTTCATCTAGAACTACTTCAAACAACAAAGCGTATGCAGGAAAAGTGCATAAGATTGCAAGACTGTCCGTGTTTTATATGTGTTGCGTTATATTATTTTGTTATTTAATGTTAACTGTTTATGTTATGTTTTTGTTAAGAAACCTGCAATGGGACTACATCTGAAAAGTCCAGCGCATTTACACTGTTTATTCTTGTGTTGATTAATGTGCACTGTCCCAATGAAATAAATAAATGAATAAATAATGGCCTCCCGGACATTTCCATTGTGTTAATAATGATTTACTGAGTGAGTTGCAACTTGCAAGTATGCCTTTTTGCTCATTGCTTATTGAATTATTATACATATTTTTTGTATTACTTGCATTATCAGATAAGAAAATCGGGCGGCCCGGTGATCCAGTGGTTAGCGCGTTGACCTCACAGTGCAGAGGTACCGGGTTCAATTCCAGCTCCGGCCTCCACGTGTGGGTTTGCATGTTCTCCCCGGGCCTGCGTGGGTTTTCTCAGGGTACTCCAGTTTCCTCCCACATTCCAAAAAACATGTATGGCAGGCTGATTGAACACTCCAAATTGGCCCTAGGTGTGAGTGTGAGCGCGAGTGGTTGTTCATCTCTGTGTGCCCTGCGACTGGCCTGCACTCGGTTCAGGGTGTCCCCCGCCTACTGCCAGAAGACAGCTAGGATAGGCTCCAGCACCCCCCGTGACCCTTGTGAGGAGAACGCGGATTGGAAAATGGTTGGATGGATAAGACAATCAACAACAGTTTCTAATTTTCAACGCTGACCTGGAATAAAGCATTCGGTTTCAAGAAATTTAAGTGCCTTGACTTTTCTTGGGCAACTCGTACTCCCCACAGCGACTAGGATAAATAATTTTAATTTGATTATAGGTTTGGAAATAATAACATGTTAAGATTACTCATTCCTCTGAAAAAGACATGTTGGTAACTGGCATCACAGGTCAAAATTTACCATTTCTCCCTCAGGACCCCCAAAATCAAGGTAAAGGTGGCGTATTCCATCATCAGCAGACATTTTCAGTTTTTCATAAGGGTATCGGAACAGCACAGCGCCACTGGCTGGTTCGGCTGGCTCCTTCATCACAGTGAAGCCTTTCTCATAGTGCAGTGTCAGCCGGACATCTTGTCTGTTCAATGTGCATCCTGCGGGGGAAGCATGCAATAGTGACAATTAGTGGATTTTAGTGAGTGGAAAGGTGAGCGAGATGTATGTAACTTGCAGTTTTTCTTCCATATATCTTGCAGAGATGAAAGTGGACTTTTCTGAAAATTCCGGAAAAAATAAATAAATAAATAAACGTGTGTGTGTGTGTGTGTGTGTGTGTGTGTGTGTGTGTGTGTGTGTGTGTGTGTGCGCGTGTGTGCGCGTGTGTGCGCGCGTGCGCACGCACTTGGCCGATCAAGCATGAATTAGTTTACACAAAACGCTATTCAAATATCGACATTCAATGATTAATCTTCCTTTTGTGTGCACACGTGTACCCTTTGTGGCTTCCGTTCGGGCCGAAATTTCGAAATCTCCAAGATATGGCGAGGCCACGAGAATGCGAGGCGAGGGTATTACTGTTGTGGCGACTCCACTCAAGCTAAGCGAGCCTCAGCCGTAGATGGTCCGGT